CAGCCTCCTGAATAGCTGGGATTACAGGCACGCACCACCATGCCCAGCAAATTTTTTGTATTTTTAGTAGAGACGGGGTTTCACCATGTTGACCAGGATGGTCTCGATCTCTTGACCTCGTGATCCACCTGCCTCGGCCTCCCAAAGTGCTGGGATTACAGGCTTGAGCCACCGCGCCCAGCCATAAGACAGGGTTTCATCATGTTGGCCAGGCTGTTCTCGAACTCCTGACCTCAAGTGATCCACCCACCTCGGCCTCCCAAAGTGTTGGGATTACAGGTGTGAGCCACTGCACCTGGCCAAAGATGTCATTTAATTGTTGTTTGTATGCATCAAGATCTAAACAATGTCTGCATATGACATTTCCTTGTTTTATCTTGTAAAATATATTCCTTAACAAAATTAACTGATGGTTAATTGTACATGTCAGCTTGACTGGGCGAGGAATGCTCAGATAGCTGGTGGAACATCACTTCTAGGTGTGTCTGGGAGGGTATGTCTGGCAGAGATGAGCATTTGGATTGGCAGGCTGAGTAAAGAATATCACTCTCGCCAACGTGGGCAAGCATCATCCGTTCCACTGAGGGCCTGAGTACATCAGAAAGGAAGAGGTCGGGTACATTTGCTTGCTCTCTGCTTGAGCTGGGACATCGTTTTCTCATGCCCTCAGGCATTGGTGTTCCTGGTTCTTGGGCCTTTGGACTGTGAGTGGGACACTGGCTTCCCTGGTTTTCACTTTGAGTTTGGACCAAAACCACACCACCAGCCTTCCCTGGCCGCCTGCTTACAGACAGCAGATGTGCAACTTCTGAGGCTCCAGAATTAAATGAGCCAATCCCTCATATAATATATCACTCTCTATTTTAGGGAAGCCAGTTTTTTTTTGAGACAGAGTCTCCCTCTGTTGCCCAGGCTGGAGTGCACTTGCATGATCTCAGCTCACTGTAGTCCCTGCCTCTTGGGTTCAAGCGATTCTCCTGCTTCAGCCTCCCAAGTACCTGGGACTACTGGTGTGGGCCACCACACCTGGCTCATTTTTTATTTTTAGTAGAGACAGAATTTCACCATGTTGGCCAGGCTGGTCTCGAACTCCTGACCTCATGATCTGCCTGCCTTGGCCTCCCAAAGTGCTGGGATTATAGGCATGTGCTGCCATGCCCAGCTAATTTTTGTATTTTTAGTAGAGATGGGTTTTCACCACATTGGCCAGGCTGGTCTTGAACTCCTGACCTCAAGTGATCTGCCTGCCTTGGCCTCCCAAAGTACTGGGATTACAGGCATGAGCCACTGTGCCCAGCCTTTTTTTTTTTTTTTTTTTTTTTTTTTTAGGCAGGATCTCACTCGGCTACCCAAACTGGAGTGCAATGGTGAGAACTTCAGCTCACTGGAGCCTTCTCTGCCTGGGTTCAAGCAGTCCTCCCACCTCAGCCTCCCAAGTGGGTGGTACCACAAACATGCACTACCACACCGACTAATTTTTTTTTTAATTATTTGTTGTAGAGATGGGATCTTGCTATGTTGCCCTGGCTGGTCTCAAATTTCTGGCCTCAAGCTATCTACCTGCCTTGGCCTCCCAAAGTGCTGGGATTACAGGTGTATATTAGGCTTCTGCAGAGGGAAAGAACTAATAGGTTAGATAGATGTAGTACTGACTCACACCATCACAGGGTCCCACAATAGGCTGTCTGCAAGCTGAGGAGCGAGGAAGCCAGTAGGAATCCCAAAGCTAAAGAATTTAGTCTGATGGTCGAGTGCAGGAAGCATTGAGAACAGGGGAAAGATGTAGGCTGGGAGACTAAGCCAGTCAAGTTTTTTTTTTTTTTTTGAGACGGAATCCTGTTCTGTCACCCAAGCTAGAGTGCAGTGGCACGATCTCAGCTCACTGCAAACTTCACCTCCTGGGTTCAAGCAATTCTCATGCCTCAGCCTCCCAAATAGCTGGGACTACTGCGCCACCACGGCCGGCAAATTTTTTTGTATTTTTAGTAGAGACGGGGCTTTACCATGTTGGCCGGGCTGGTCTCAAACTCCTGACCTCAGGGGATCTGCCTGCCTCACCCTCCCAAACTGATGGGACTATAGGCGTGAGCCACTGGGCCCTGTCCACAGCAGCTTTTTTTGTTTTCAGAGTCTCTGTCGCCCAGGCTGGAGTGCAGAGACAGGATCTCAGCTCAGTGCAACCTCCATATTTTGGACTCAAGTGATCCTCCCACCTCAGCCTCCTGGGTAGCTGGGATTACAGGCAGCACCACCATGTACAGCTAATTTTTTTTTTTGGTAGAGACAGGGTTTGGCTATGTTGCCTAGGCTGGACTCCAACTTCTGAGCTCAGGTGATCCTCCTGCTTCAGCCTCCCAAAGTGCTGGGATTACAGGTGTGAGCCACTGTGCCTGGCCAGTAAGTTTCTTTTTTTCTTTTTAGGCAGGGTCGCCCTCTGTCACCCAGGTTGGAGTGCAGTGTCATGACCTCAGCTCACTGAGACCTCAAATGTCTGTCTTTACCACAGGGTACTAACAAATTTGGCCAGGAGTGGTGGCACACACTTGTAACCCCAGTACTTTGGGAGGTCAAAGTGGGAAGATCACATGAACCCAGGATTTTGAAACCAGCTTGGGCAACATAGCGAGACCCCATCTCTACCAAAAAAATAAATAAAAATTAGCCAGGTGGCCGGGCGCGGTGGCTCATGCCTATAATTCCAGCACTTTGGGAGGCCGAGGCAGGTGG